CCGCCGCCGTCTGTCCTGTATCACGCCGCCGTCTGTCCTGTATCACGCCGCCGTCTGTCCTGTATCACGCCGCCGTCTGTCCTGCATCACATTGCCATCTGTCCTGTATCACGCTACCGACTGTCCTGTATGACACTGCTCTCTGTTCTGTATCACGCTGCCGTCTATCCTGTTGAACCTTTAGACAGGCTATATAAACTTCCAAACACAACACGAATCGTAATAGGAAAACTCTTTATCAAACGGGGCTAAAAGCACCAGCCAGGACTGAATTTGGGCGTTGCACGACTGTCCGTCCTGCTGTGCCTGCAAACAGCAGTAAGCAGTCTTTCTCATTTTCTCCTCAGTTAGGGTCTAATCTCATCCAGTAATTTAAATAAATCACGTGGCCTTTTTCAAGAACACTCGCAGATGATGCCTGTAATACATTACAGTTTGAGAGAAGACAACCTTCAACAATATTTAGACAACCGGAGATTTGTTGGAGGAGGTGGCAAGGAGCATGTGCTGATTTCAGCACCTTGCCGCACCCACCGCACGACAAACCACCTCAGGGATGAGAACCTCAGTGCGGTGGGTGATACCTCAGTACCACACCAGTCCAAATGGAATGGAACAGTGTGAGTTTTTTCTGGTGGCTGGAGTGTTAATCCCACCTCCAACCCCCAAATTGTCCTTGTAAGTTGGAGGACCTGCTGGCAGGGCTGGATGTAGTTTAACATCATACCCATGACAAAGCAGTGCAGGTTAAGGCCCTTCCTCAAGGGCCCAACAGAGCAGAATCACTCCTGGCATTGACAGGATTCAAACCAGCAACCTTCTGATTGCCAGTACAGATCCCTGGCCTCAGAGCCACCACTGTGCCCACAATTTCTTGGCAATGTATCAATTTGTGTGATAATGTAATGAAGCACAATTGACTTTTAATTTATGCAGTTTTTGAGAATTCTATCCGACATATAACTTACGTCATGTAGGAGTCCATACTAAGATTATTTGTTTCTGTGCATATTACCTGTATAAAGGTGATTTTTTTCAGTATAATTCACATACTGTATGTTTAACTCTTACAAGGCGCCCCCTTGTGTATATTAGCATATCATCTTGTCGTTGTTTAAATCTATCACATGACTCCCTGATAAGAATAGAATTCGGCTGGGTAGTATTAAACAGATTGACATAAAACATGGACGACCCTCACACAAACAGAAAGCCATCATTCCTCTCTCTTCTTCACTCTCCATCCGCTCACCGAAGGCATCTTCCACCTACGGGTCCCCGAGTCCTCCCCCGTGGGGTCCGCCGTGGGCAGGATCAAGGCACACGACCTGGACATCGGGAAGAACGCGGAGGTGGACTATACCATCGTCCCTGGAGACGGGGGAGCCACGTTTGACATCACTACTAACGAGCACAACCAGGAGGGCATCATAGTCCTGAAGAAGGTACGCTCCGTCTCTGCTCCAGAGCTCATTCGCCTTCTGAGGTGTCATTCTGGTCTTTAAAGCCCTCTTTAAAGTCAGTTTTAATGTGCTGGGTTAGCATTGGCATTCTGAGTTTCAAGTGGGTATCAGAAATAGTCAAGTAAAGTACTGGTGGTGAGGGGCAGAGTGAGAGATGGGCCCAGTGTGCGACAATGGCACTTCGATTGTGAAAGGTACCCCCCCCCCCGTCCCCCATAAGTAACCAAACAAAATACACACACACACTGTGCAGTAGTAGCAGACATCAGCCACTTTGATTTTTTTTGTCGGCCTAAACAGCCTCTACTGGGAGGCACCGGTGACACCCTGATGACTCATGACCGGCAGGCGGCCTTTGTAACCCCCCCACTAAGCAAGCCCATCCCATCAAAGCAACGCGCTGCCTTTGCATGTGCCGGCAACCTCACTCCCAGCAGGGGAGCCCCCATAAGCGATCGTCAGGCCCGCGTGCGTTTCCCTCTCGCTTGACGTGAGATTAATCCGCACCAGGCTTCCGTCTGACTGCAGATTTGGAGGCAGCCCTCGGCTGAACCGCAGTCCGCGCTCCATACCTCTCTCAGCTAGGCAGCCATAAATAAAGATATTTCTTCCCCCAAAGGAACCAGCGCATTTCATTTCAGCTTTTTTTTTATCATTTAATGTACCTCCCACCTACAGAAGACAGTACGAGCTCGAACCGTGGGCCAAATGGGTCAGAAAACACTTAAGGCTGCTCCACTAACAGGCTGAGTCCCCTGATCAACATGGATACCTCTACAGAAAAATTGATAAGTGCCCCTGCTGGGGAATTTAATACATTACTGTGGACTGCATGCTAGCAATTGGCTGATTTAGGTCACATGGTAACAGGCAGGCATGTTATTCCCCCAGCTGCCAAAGCACACACACACACACACACACAGAGCTTTGTAATTATATCTTTCTATGGGAAAACACAACATGATGACCTTAACCCATATCCAGCCCTAACCTTCACCATAAGTAACCAAACAAAATACGAGAGTTTTGTCATGTATAGTTTTTTGATTGCAGTCATATCTTGGGGGAAGTTTCAAAATGGTCCCCACAACATCAAAATATCAGGTTTGAATCACATTTGATCCCCACAATGCAATATAGACCTAATACACACACACGGTCAGCTCTGCATCTTACACTCACATTACAAGCCGGAACGAAACAAGGCAGTTTTAGTAAAAGACAGTCTTAGTCGAAAGCTGCATAATGGAAATTCAGTCCAAAGATACAGGGATCTGCAGCACAGCAGGACATCTGCCTGGAACCGCTGTAATGTACGTGCCAAGCTTTGGGAACGACTCGGATGGTGCATTTTCCGAAGGGAACAGGAAGACGCATAAATCAGAGCTTTTCGAACCGTTGCATGTGCTTCAGTGCGGACACGGGTGCTAAACCTCCTGCCTTTTCTTTTTTCAACCCTGCCCCGAGACGTGATTTACGCAGGTTCTGCAAAGGAGTTTCCGAACATAGTGGCGTGCGTCGGAATATTCCGGAATATGCCAAAATAGCAGCACGCTTTCCGGGTCGGCCTAGATTCCTGTTTGATATTTAACGTTTCTTTCTGTTTGTGTTGACACCCGTTGTGAAAAAAATCCAGGAGCTCTATAAGCCAATTGCAACACAAAGACACTAGGCTGTAAATAACATGAGTAGCGGAATTAGGGCATGAAGCTGGCTCTGGTTACAATGCAAACTCAGCCCCCCACACTCCAGAGGGGAGTATAGCCCATTGTCCGGAAGGTAGAGAGTGGGTGGCGGTGCCTTTGATACTTGGGGGGGGGTTGAAATGGCCGTAGCCAGGCCTCTGCTACGTTTGGTATGCGATAAGAGGATCAGCCGGAGTAATAGTTTCGATAATTATCCATTTTTTCCCTTACTTTCTTTTTTTCTGATTTGGGGGGGTGATTTTAATCAGTTGCTTAGCGGGGATAAAATATTCCAGGGAAGGATGAGGCCTTGCTGTGAAACAGCGCAGAGTAATGCATTCGGGACAGTGGCACGTCCCATGTCCCATTTGGTCCTGTCTTCCTGTCAGATTAGCCATGTTTGGTTGATTTTATTTGGTTTTTTCCACTTAAGCTGCCGGTAAACTGACTCTGGCAGCTTGATTGAAAAGCCTCAGCCTGCAGGGGGTGCTATTCACCCCTGAGTGAGTCCTTTGATGTGCACACCTCTCCTTTGTTTGTCCGAAATGGACCTCTGTACATTTCTGAGCCAACCTAAGCCTTGATCACTGAGCGTGCACAAGAAAAGCGCAGGCGAGCAGCTAGCGCTGAGTGGTGTCCTACCCTGAAGGGGGGGCGTTTCTATTGCTGTTTTTCCAGCCCACCCCACAGTGGCCATCCTGTGCCATGGTGTCTGAGAAGATCCAGAAGACAGCTTTGGTCCACACGAGAAAAGATGACGCTCAGCTTCTGGGCCTCCTGAGGAACCCAGGGGTCTGACCAGACCTTCCCGCAGTAAATGGACCCGGCCATGTGTGGAGAGCGAGAGCGAGCCGGATTACTGCCTGTTAAATAAGTCACGAAATACATGACGAAGTGGGCCAACTTATGAGTCCCCAATGGTTCCGAGGCGAGGACCGTTAAACACTGCAGTCCCTGGGCAGACTCCGAATCGGCGCACAGCACCACCTGTTGGTCATACACTGGTAACACCGTGAACAACGCTAACATGATATCACAGGCACAATTATAACATCCCAATGTAAAGCGCTACTCTATTTCAAACATGGGCTCTGCGCTCATTTTAGCCACTGCTGTATGTGTGTGTTGTGTGTGTGGATTCGATTTATATTACATTGTGGGTTATTTTGACGTTGTGGGGCGCTCACAAAGGTCGGCACGCTGGGGTTAGATTTCTCCTGAAAAAAATGCATGGAGAGTCCCCACAAAGATATAATTCCAAATGTGTGTGTGTGTGTGTGTGTGCATGTGTGCATTCAGAATACATTTGGTCCTGTGTGGGAGAGGCAGACAGTCCCCCATGGTGGCCTTTCCGGAACCTTCCGTGATCATGGCCCTCATTTCTATCCGATTCACCCCCTGTAATGGACCTTCCCCGTTTACCTGACAGTGTTCAGTGCAGGCTCAGCGTTTAGTTAACGCAGCCCCGATAACACGGGATGGGTAGGGTCTCCCAAGGCCAGGCAGACAGGACCCGGCTTGACTGAATGTGGCGCCGTTTACCTGGGACTATTCCCTCTGGCATGGCCTGCCCTTCTAACTTGCCTGGTTTGATGTTAACAAGGACCCTCCATGAGCTGAAATGAAGTTAAGCCCATGAAACCTGAAGCCAGTGAGCCTGCGAAACGAGCACAGAGCTCATTAACACTCCGAAGCCTCCTCCTGCTGCCTTAATCACCACCCCACCCGCAGGCAGACGGTCACGTGACACCTCGCAGGTCCCGAATCTCCAGGCCGGCCCGTGCAGAACCTCACGGAGGCGGCATGCCGATTAATTGGAGCAGACATTGATTTGAAGGCCGGGGGAGAGCCCTGCTTGACTGCCTGGCTTGATGTGAGAGCTTTAACCAAAGCTGCCAGCTATACGGACAGCGAAATCCATGAGCGGCATCTGTGGTGCCCGTGAAAGCAGCTTTAAGCGGGTGGTTTAAAGTTCACGGTGAGGAAGAACGGTGCGTGTCTGACGGACGAATAAAGTTTGACATTCAAATGCGGAAATGTCAGCACGTGTCCTGGAATTCAGAGGAACCGCCTCTTGATTTTGCAATCATGGTTTCTGGCTCATGCTGATAATGATAAAATAATGATCATTGCGGTTTATAGGTGCGAAGAGCGGTCCGTGGGGCATTTGTCCATATGAGTGATATGGGAATTAAGAGAAATAATGTGAATTATTAATTATATCTGAGCAAATATTGCTGTAGCATTAGCAGTGTATATTATTTGTATATTGGGTTAATAGGGTATGAATATCCTTGCATTGCAGTAGCATTAGCAGTTTGTATTATTTGTATAATGGGTTAATAGGGTATGAATCTCCTTGCATTGCAGTAGCATTAGCAGTTTGTATTATTTGTATAATGGGTTAATAGGGTATGAATCTCCTTGCA